TATTTTGGAGGATGCCACTGATAGATCCTATTTTGTTTTGTTTCCCTCTGATGTTTATGTATGTCTGTGTGACCCTTTATCTGAAAATGGTTAAAATACCCAAGTTCTCAAATGTGAGACTAAAACTGATACTATAGCATCCATCCCTCAAGGACATTTCATGAGACAAAATAATATAGATCTATAGCTTCCAGCTGGGTAGGGAAAATATTGATTCGGATTTTCAAGGACTGGTTTTTTAATTTAAAAATTTTTTTTTTTTTTTTTCCTTTTTAAATTAATTATCAACTCATCGCTGGCCACATTCATTATTAATTACTGAACTGGGTCTGCTCTCTTCTTGCAAGCGAGACTGACACTGCTCGCAGGCTGGATCTGGCCAGAGGGCCATAGTTTGCCCATGTCCGATGACAGCAGTGTCAAATGGGTTGTAAAAGACATACCACAACAGTTTTGATTCTCTAGTCCCCAGTGGTTGGTGGGTGCTCGGGGGTGGTTTGCTCCTTTTTTCCTATCTCACATCTATCTTCTTGATCTCTCCTTGTTCTTTTATTTGTGGTCGTTGCTCTCTTGTAATATCTTTGGCACTTATTGTGTTGCAAGTGCTGTAAAATTCTAACTAAAACTAACACTGAAACTGCTCACAGGCCGGATCTGGCCTGTGAATCGTAGTTTGCCCATGCGTGATGAGTTGTAAAACATGTACAACTACAGTTTCCACTCTCCTATGTGGATGGTTGGTGGGTGCTCTAGTGTGATCTGCTCCTTCTTTCCAATGGCACATTTATCTCCCTTACCTCTCCTCCTCATTTTTTTGGTATTGGTTACTTTCTTGTAACACCTCTAATCTTCTGCATTTACATGACCTTATTGTGTTGCAAGTGCCATAAAACACTAACTAAAACCAACAATTCTGTGATCCCCAGTGTTTGGCTCTCTGGACATGTCGCGGGCTAACTCGATGACCACGTCCGGCCAGTGCCGCCTGGCTCCCATGATCCTCTGCATCCTGGACTCGTGCCAGCTCTATGACTACCTGGTCAAGTCCTTGTTTCACCTGCATTCTAGTGAGTTTTTCCCTCTCTTTGTTTTCTTCTTTCAAGTCATGTCACAATTGTTTTTTGATGTTGTTGTTTTTAAATTAAGTCATGGTCGCAATTTTGTTTGGGTTTGTTTTGTTTTTAAAAAAATTTGTTGTGGTTTTTTTCTAGTCATGTTACAGTCTTGTTGCTGTTGTTGTCGTTGTTATTTCTTGTCTCTAGTCATGTTACAGTCTTGTTGTTGCTGTTGTTGTCGTCGTTATTTCTTGTCTCTAGTCATGTTGTTGTTGTCGTTGTTATTTCTTGTCTCTAGTCATGTTGTTGTTGTCGTTGTTATTTCTTGTCTCTAGTCATGTTTTTGTTGTCGTTGTTATTTCTTGTCTCTAGTCATGCTGTTGTTGTTGTCTGATGTTTCTTTTCTATCATGTGATGTCATAATGTTGTTGTTATTGTTTGATGTTTCTTTTCTATCATGTGATGTCATAATGTTGTTGTTTGATGTTTCTTTTCTATCATGTGATGTCATAATGTTGTTGTTATTGTTTGATGTTTCTTTTCTATCATGTCATGTCATAATGTTGTTGTTATTGTTTGATGTTTCTTTTCTATCATGTGATGTCATAATGTTGTTGTTGTTGTTTGATGTTTCTTTTCTGTCATGTCATGTCATAATGTTGTTGTTTGATGTTTCTTTTCTATCATGTGATGTCATAATGTTGTTGTTGTTGTTTGATGTTTCTTTTCTATCATGTCATGTCATAATGTTGTTGTTATTGTTTGTTTTTTCTGTCATGTCATAATGCTGTTGTTGTCAGTTGTGGGTTTTTTTCATCTTCAAGTCATGAATGTCACAATTTTTGGGTAAGCTCGACAATGTTGGTAAAGATTGAAACGTAACAAAAAATGTCCTCTGTGAGTTCTACTTTTTGCATGATTGTGTGCTATTATATTCCTGCCATAAGAAGTTGTAGGTAAAATAGTTTGAAGAAAAAAACAACATCTTAACACTGGCGGTATGGATCAGAGAGTGGTGAATGATTTACTTTGTCAGTGCTTGCCTTGCCAACCTGGGAGAGCTGGTGGTTACCAGATGCTCAGGTGTGGTTTGCTTATTCTTTGCTATCAAACATCTATCGTCCTTATCTCTCCTTTTTTTGTGTATGTGTTTGTTACATTAGTTACTCTCTTGTAAAACCTCTAATCTTCGGCACGTATATGATCTTATTGTTGCAAGTGCAGTGAAACTTTTTACTAAAACTAAAGCCCTCATTACCAAAACTTAGTTCTAAAATTAACAGGCACTGTTGCACGACTTGGGGCTGTGAGGAGGATTTTACTTTCATATTTAATGAATATATATGTGTGTGTATGTTTGCATAAATACACACGCACATACATATACATCTATATGTAGTATGTAGTGCTGTTGCATGACTGGCATGTCTGTATATCGGTGATGTACTAACGATTGACTCCACCCCCCCGCAGTGTCTGGCTCGGGTAAGTAGATCTCTCGTCAGAGTGGTGGACAGAGGGATGAGGGACACACACACATACACACACACAGCGCGCGCTCACGCACACGCTCACACAAACACATACACTAACATACTCACACTCACATATACACACACATACATTCGCTCACATACACACACACATACACTCGAACACAGACACTTTCAAACACACACGCACACACACTCACGTACGTGCGCACACAGACACTTTCAAACACACACATACATACGCACCAGGTTACGGAGTACTCAGCAACCAGAGTTACGGGCTGTGAAGTTTAATTAACTTACGGAGCACATCATGTCCCTCAATTTGAGCTGAATTAAAGGGGGGAGGGGGGGGCGGAGGTGCCATACACACTCAATTAAAGGGGGACTGATGCTTTGTCCTACATCTATGGGTAATGACGTGGTCCTTGGAGTGCAGGCTTTGCAGCAAAGTTGTTATAGTATACATTGTCGCTGTTGTGAGCAATCCACTTTAGTCTAAATTTGGGAACATTTTCGATTTTAACAGCCTACCTAAGCTCTACCAAAGATGCACCTTTTTAACATCACCTAATGCAGTTAAATGCTAAGGCTGACGAATTTCTCACTTTTCATGATTCCTGATAGGAACGATACAAGAAAAAAAACTATTTTTAAAGATTGTTTTTGTCACTGGTGTAAAAGTTTCCAAATGTACCTAAGTCCGATTCTTGCAACTCCGACGACATGTAGTTATAGAAAGCGAAGAACGGTAACCATGACAGTTGGCAGTCTAGAAGTATAAGTCTATGCACAGCCCTTAACTTTGTTGGTGAGGTTTCTGGTACTGTTGTAAGTCGCCAAACCTGGCTTCTGTCGTAGAGCAATATTACTGTGCAGAAGTACGCCATGTGGGTTGCGACTCACACAGATAATACGTACATGTGCTTTTTCCCCCTTTGACTTTTGTTTCCCCGGGCCTAAGGGAGTTGTAAATGTGATTTTGTTTTTTGAGAATAATAAAAGCTGATGATAATGGCTTGATAAGGAGGGTTATTTGGAGGATGTCACTGGTTGGTCCCACTTCTTTACCTCTCTTTGGTTCTTTCTGTCAGTGTGTCTCACTAGCTCCAACACTTTTGCACCATTCTGGTGTATGATGTCTTTTTTTTTTCTCTATCGAAATTTCTTCTTCTTAAGAAATGGGCACACTGTTACTTCACTTGATATCATGCTGGATTATGAAACAGATGTCCCTGGTTTGAATCCCCAGTGGGGTGTTCTGAACTTTGTTTTTTGGGGGGAGTTTTTAAGGCTCCTTCCTATCGGAGATGGACTTTAAATTGGGAGGTCCCATTTTTTAAATAACCTTACCAAGTTGAAAGGGGCATCATAGTTTCGCAAATTAAAACAGAAATAAATGATTAAGTCATTAATTAAAGGGAAAAAAATTAATAGCTAATGTTGATTTTGATTAACTTGTGTCACATATCTATGTACTTGCTTTTGTGATTTGGGGCGGAGATCTCTTTCTTGTTTCAAATTCCCCTTGAGGTTTTTCGTTTTGGTAACCCTGTTTATGATTATGTTCCTGAGGGATGGGATCGATGTTCAGTGATTTGTAGAATGGCATGACTCTGTCACTAATGTACCAGGGAGCTGGCTTCTTTTTGTTTGGTTCCCTCTTTTATTTTTCAAAATATTTTCTTCTTCGGTAATCGTCGCAAAGTGGCCATCACTTGATAGTGGTAAATTAATAGTTCATGTTTTTATGCCCTCATTTATACCACATCTTAGATCTTTTAGGAGGGGGGCTGCTTCGACTTGCCTGTCAGGAAATACTTTAGATCACAGCACACAGATGGAGATAATGTGATACTATAATAGATGTAGCGTGCATAGAACATTCTGTAGAGCGTGGATGTGTGGTGCATAAATGCAATTACCATTATTATTTTTGTTGGTGTTATTATTATTATTATTATTATTATTTTTTAAA